TGTCTTGGATTGAACTTAGAAATATCTAATGTCATGAAATATGAGAACAAGTGGTTGTAAAAGTTAGGTGTCAAAGTTTCTGCTAAGTCGTCAAAATATTCTGTATCTTGCATATGAGAATCTGACGTTCTGACAACTACATATCTTCTGTCAGAACTTTCTAACTTCATCGGAACGGCATTGTTTGAAACCATATGAAATTTGCAACATTTTCACAAACTCTTTGGTCTTTATATTTTCTTTCAACAACTCCAACTTTGTCTGTTATAAGACTCTTCAAAGCATCTGAGTTTAAAACTTTGTTGTATCTATACTTTGAAGTTCGTTACATACTATAAGTTTCATATTCTCTATTGAAGAGTTAAATTTACCGCAGATGTTTTCTAAGTTTGTCATATTCGGGTTCGAATAGCCTCTAACAGTTTGCATAAGATATCTGTAAAGAAAGTGTTCTTACCAGTTCCTTGTTTTCCAATTATAATGAGAGCAGTTTCATTTTTAGCACTTGGATGTTGTAAGATGTTTGCAAACCAACATAAGATATACTCATAGACTCTTTCGTTTCCATTGCATATAATTTCTTTGACATGGTCTAACCAAGCTTCTATAATATTTTCTTTCCATTCTACTTGTTCGTATTTATATCCAGTGAAGATAGAATAGAAGTTTGGAGAAGGTGTATAGAACTTTATACCACGAACTGAAAAATCTTCTAACTTTGACAATAAGATATCCCAAGCATCTAACATCTTCATACCAACTTGTACGACTTTTATTTTCTTAAGTTTCTGTCTACATTCTTGTTCTGAAACTATTGTTGCTCTTGGTTTGTTAAAGACAACATCCCATTCTTTCATGACATAACATTCTGGGGCAGAGTCGACATAAATGACTAAACGTTTCAAATTCTCGACTGCTTTGTTATAGTCTCTAAATGGACACATATTTCTGAATGCTTGGAAGTCATAAAAATCTGAAACATCTATTCTGTACATTTTTATAAAAATAAAAAAAATATTTTTTTTATTCTTGACTTTGTTGTTCCATTTGTTGCATTTGTTGTTCTTGAGCTATTTGTTGTTGAAGTTGTTCTTGTAGTACAATACTTTCACCAGTTGCATCTTCCAATTCGAAACTTTCTGCCGTCATTGACAAATACATAGGACATAAAAGTTTTACAGGAACAAAGTTTGCGTCAACTAAGGTTAAGTTTATGTTTGCTAAAGTGTTTGAGTTTACTAAAGCTGAAAACTCTGCATTCGAATGAACAATAGGCAAACCAGCAGAGAAAGTGTTGTTTATACGCATGAGTATCTTTTGGTCATAGTAGTTTCTGTCGACATTCGAATAGCACTTTGAACCTAAGTTTGAAACAATATATAAAATAGGTGTACTTAAAGTCAATGGAACAGACATTCCTTGTATGACACCTTTTCCTGTTATAGGAAACTGTTGGTAGTAAAAACCAGATATAAGTTTTGTATTATAGCTCATATCGTTTATAGTAAACTCAGTCGGACATCCAAACATAATGAACCTGCTCTAGTTGCAGCACATGTTACATCCGTCCTTAAAGTATTAATAAGTCAACAAAACCTGTTGGTGGTATATCTGAGTAAGTATCTTCAAAGAAGTATTTTTTACCATTCACAACAACAAAGTCTTCTGGTGTCAAAAGAGCAAAACAGGCTTTAGTCGTCATCGTGTTTAAGGTCAGTTTACAATATCGTCCTTGAGGACTTTGTAAGTTTGTTGTTATAGAATTATATGACTCAGGTTTTTTAGTCGTAATAGTATAAACCACTATGTCTTCTGCCATTTACTTAGCAAGTAAATTTTAATGAAATGTTGTGGTCGTCAAATATTTTTATGACGTCTGGGAAACTATATTTTAAGTTCAACGTTTCACCTCCTTTCATAACGTATATCTTGTCAATGACATTATATGAAACACCACAGCAACTAATGTCGGGTTCTATTTCTTTGATGTTTATATCGTCTGCCTCTGTCAAAAGTTTCAATAGTTCTTTCAAAACTTCATGAGGTGCAATGACATATGAGTTCACTTTTACAGGGTTGTGCTCAACCAAGTTTAACATTATACCCAAAGCTTGACAAATCTTCTCCTGAGTTTGAAGTTTGTCTTTCAGTTGTTGGTAGTCATTTCGAATATCTGCAACAGAACTTAAGTCTCTGCTAACTTCAGGGTATGTTGGTTGTTCTTTTACAGGAACTATTGTTATACCATCTTCGTCTTCGTATGGTTTCCCCACTTCAACATCTCTTTCTTTGACATTGACAACAAACACTTTGACTGTTTGTTTGAGTTGGTGAATTTAACTTCACATCTGCCACCGCCATTAAACCTTTTGAAACACTTACGCTTCTATTTTTCGGAAATGACATTTTACTTAGAATAAAAAGATGGACGTATTCGAGTATCTCTTCGAATTGAAGCAAAACAAAGTTTACACACACAAACAATACAAATACATTGACAGAATAGTTCTTTATACAAACAATGGAAAATGTTATAGAATAGCAGTCTTTGCTGAACCTAAATATTTTCATAAAGCAAAGAAAGTTGGTATAACCGAGATGGTGAAAGTTCTTGACGTTGACAAAAATATAGCAACAAAACTGACCGATATTTCTAAAGGTAAGTTTATAATACAATTTTATGTCAAAACTGGCGTACTGTCAATATTTGACGGAGAGAAGTCAGTTCAAGAACAACTTACTGACCTGCTGCCAAAATCTGCTCGATGGAAGCTGTCGTTATGCCAATCTGAGGAGCCCCAGCAGGTTTCATCGAACGAATCTTCAAAAGAGCATCTTCCGTGAAAAGTGCTATTGGTTTTGTAAACTTCTTTGCTCTCAGTTTCTATGGACCGTCTCTGTCACCAGTATATTGTATTTGTACAGTACCAACAGTTGAAATACCACCCATAAAGTCTTCTGAGTCAGCAAATGGAATGCCAAGCCAAAAGTTTGAACGGTCTCCATTTGTATATTGAGTTTTTTGACTCCTGTATGAGTCCATACTTTCACATATGGCATAATAGAACTTTGCATTTCAGGGTTAATGGTTGTTGTGAAGTTGTTGTTAAAGTTCATAGCATCTAATGTCAAGTTGTATGACCTCATATCCTCAACTGTAGAATATTCTTCTCTTGGATAATATTTGCCATCTATGTTTATATGATATTTAATACCAGGGTTGTAGAAACAAGAATAGTCATTTATAGTTCGTCTGAACAGTACAAACATAGTATCTGCATGTTTCATTGCAGTTGTTAAAGCAATATCTGTTCTTGCACCTGGGTCAGTTTGGTTTCCAACTTCACCTGCAAAGTCTTTGACAGATATTTGGTGTATAGGGAACATAAGTGGAACTGCAATATATTTGGCAGCTAAAGCATTTGAAATATCTGGGTCCAACATATAGACTGCAAGTCTGCTTTCTATTCTCTTGCATTCAAATTTCGCATGTAACTTAACTGGGTCCCAAGCAGTTCCAGCAGCATTGAAATAATAGTTACTTCAGTGTTGAGGTTTGAGAAACCAAAGTCTAAGTCAACTTTGTCTTTGCAAAATTCGGCGAATGACGTTTTGATTTGCTCCCTTTACGTCTGTAAGAGTGAATGGGTCTTGCGTTGGTGCAATGACTAAGTTATTTTTGCTTGGAGTAAGTTCAATAGAAATTTTTCCTGCCCAGTTTGGCAAGTATCTTAAAAACCTGAAGATGAGGAAAGATGACAAAGGAACTCTAAGTTTCAGTTTTACTTTAGTGACAGCATTTCCATCTGAACCAGAAAGGTTAACATAAACTCCTGGAACGTTAGGGTCAAGTCTTCTTATTTTCTCAATAGTTGCATACTGGTCTGTTTGTTCTCTAGCTTGTGGTTGTACTGAGTTTCTCAAAGCGAACCATTCATAGTTTGCCCATGTTACTGTTTGACTAAATCAGAGTTAGAATATATCTTATATCCCATGAAAACTTCTGGAGCATATTGGTATCCGACATAGAAAATTCCATTGCAACCTTTCTTACCTCTCAAGTCAGCAGAAGGTTTTATTTCAATGTCTTGTTCCACGTATAAGAATGAGTTGTCAATAGAAATAATATGAAACCTGTCGCAAGCAATATCTACTGTTGTTGAAGAACCTTCTCCAAACTCACCTACATTTCCATAAGAAACAGCAGTTGTATATTCGTAAGTTCCAGGAACTATTTCTGACCTTCTAATGGCATTGTCGCATTCGTTATACCATTCGGAAACATTTCCATTCATAGCATCCAAAACTGTTGGCGTTATATTCTGAGCGGCGTACATTTCATATGAGTAAAAATATAGAATAGTTGGATTTATATGTCATAATAGAACCCACGTGGACCAAGCTTTACTTTCTTCCTGACTGAGTTTTTAACTCTTCTTTTTCCTTCATTGCCCTCTGCTTGAAGTTGTTGCATCTTTGCATTATGTTCATCTAGTATGTTGCAAATTTCCCATGTCCTTTTTGCCTTTTGGCTCTGGTCGCCCATCTCAGGTAACCTATATCCTAGAAAGAGTTTGTCATAGTCTGTATTTGAGTCTTTGCGTATTGTTTGCATGACTCTTTCCTGAGTTTCTGGTTCAAGCTCTTCAAACAGAGCTTGTCCATATGGAATAAGCTCGTTTCCAAATATATGTTTTTGTAGCCATTCTGGTTTTCTTTCCATGTTACCAACTATATCTTTTGTGAATGGGAAAGCTTTTACCCAATCTTTCAGTCTTGCGTCGTTTATTTCTGTAGTTGGTTTTATTTTGTCAAGGAACATGTTTTTCAATACTAACATTTCATTTGGTACTGTCCATTTGAGTTTTCTTAAATATTCATCCCTTCTCAGTTCATTGTCTGCAAAGTAAGTTTTTATGACATTTTGTAAACTTTCATTTGCAAGGTCATGTACAATAGGTTCTCTTCCTTCGCTCTCCCTAACTTTCTTTCTAAACTCTTCACCAAATATACCATCTCTATGGTTCTGTGTAGTTCTTTGAGATAAATGTTTTAGAACGTCAGGTGTTATATTTCCATCAGCCATGTTCATTTCATACTGGTCCAAAATATCTGCATGTTTCATATCTTTCAATGGCATTAAAGCCGCGCTTAAAATACCAGCTATATCTCGTTCACCATTGACTTCCATTGCGTCTACAACTTCTTGGAATTGTGGTTGTAAGTTTATGAACCACCTATCTGGATTAGCTTTATGACCCCATCTCATTGTAGTTCCATCGTCTGCAGAAACAAAAGTAGGTTTGTTTCCATCTTGGTTAGGTTCTGAATGAACTTTAAACAATGTTTCATTTCTATATGTTTTCTTGAAATTTAACCTTTTATTTTCACCGAGTTCATCCGAAGATTGAACGTTAAATGCTCGTAAGTAAAAAGGGTTGTTGTATTTGTGTACATTTTTTTTCAGTTCTTCCATTCTATGCTGGATATTTTCATCTGATGTTGGAGTCTTTTGTATGTCGGCAAACATTTTTCGATATTCTTCTACTATGTCAGCCGAATTTTTTTTAGACTCTTGGAAATATTCCATATTCTCCGCATACTCTTGTTGAGGGTCAAGATTTTTCGGCTGTTCCAAATCTTCATCTAGTTCTGTGAAGTTAGTTTCCAAAGGAGTGACTTGTTCGTTTCCTTCAGGCTCTTCTAGCTGTTGTTGCTGAACTATTTCTTCCATGTCTGGTTGTATCTGAACTTCTTCCTGTGGAGTTTCTTGTACCTCATCTGCTGGCATTTCATATATTCCGAGACCGTTTTCAACAATTTCCCTATCTACGTCATCCGCATTCATAAGCTTTTGTTCTTTCGTTCCGTCTCTATTTTTTACGCGTTTCATGACGAAAGTTGAATTGTCATTTAGCTCTGACATCAAATATCTCGGAGTAAATTCATCCATGTCATTTGGATGATATGCTATTAAATCATATCCCTTAGCGAGCTTGTATTTTCCAGGTTTGAGATTATATCCGTTTTGGTGCTGAGCCATAAAGCTAAATAGGTTCGGGTCAGTATTTCCATCCTTGAACTTTCCAATAGCTTCTTTATATCTGTCACTAAAGTCAACAGTATCTGGGAAACCACACTCTTCTTTAAGCATTTTTAAGAATTCTTGGTTTCCTTGTTCTCTACTTCTTTTATGTCCTTGCTCTGTTTGTGGTTGTTGTGGTGCAGTGTTTTGAACTGTTGGTTGTTGTGTTGGTTGTTGTGCTGGTTGTTGTGCATGCCTGTGTCTGTGTCCATGTGACGATGTAAATGTTTTAGGTAGTCCTGGTGCAGGTGCTTCTCTTGGAGGGTTTGGTGGTATATAAGTTCCACCAGCTGGCACATATGTTCCATCTGCAGCATAATGTCCTACCTGACTTTTCGTTTTTAAGAAAGCATTTACTAGGTCTGTTTTGGTCTGTTGTAACTCTTTTTCTTGACTTTTCACAACAGTTGCTCTAACGGCGTCATAGGCACTTTGAACTGCCTGTCTCGTTGCTGCATCTGTTATTTTCGTCATATTTTGTGCTACTTCTCTTAACTCGTTGTCGAAACCTTCAGACTTCAGTTTCTTTCCAGATGAGAAGTCGTTCACTTGTTTCACCTTACTATGAAGAGCTTCGAAGGCGTTCTTAAAGTCAGCATTTGTTAAAGCTTCATTTGAACTGTCTTCATCCGCTTGTATTTTTGTCCTTATTGACCCTATGAGTTGGGCTGCTTTAGCGTTGGCTTGGGCATCTAACCAGTCATTGTTAGCTTTTATATATTCTGCGCTTTTCATTGCCTTTTGCATAGCCGCGTCGTTATTTTTACTTTCTTGTGCTAAGTTTTCATACTGTACGGTTTGGTTTTGCAACTGTAAAAGTTTTTCTGCCTTTACATTTGCTTCAACTTCTTTTTTATACTCATCGCTATCCATATATGTCTTCAGGGCTTTTTGTTTTATCTCTTCATCTTTCAGTATTTTATATTGAGTAGTATGGTTTTTCAAATTTATGACATCTTGTTCCATTTTTGCTACTTCTGCTGCTTTTTCTGACACTTTTTTTGCATATTCCTCTGTACTTAGTTCTTTCAGTTGTTCTTCTTTCTTCTTTTTCTCTACGTTTAACTCATTGAGTTTCTTTGTGTGTCTGTCATATTCTAGTTTCTTTTCGTTTTCACTTATTTGCTTCTGTATGTCTATGTTTGACTTTTTGACATCTGTTATTTGATTTTTGAGTGAACTCAAATTCATTTGACTTTGAGGGTTATATGCTGTTCCGTCTGCAGCTCCACCATAGCCTGCCATTTTCGCTAAAAGTGCCGCTCTTAAACCTCCACTCTGTGCACCAAACTCGGTTTAAAAGCATAGGATTGCTTGACATTTGTTGCAACATAGTGGGGTCATTCAGCATTTGTTGTTGCAACTGTTGTTGTGGTGTCAGTTTTACTATTGGATGTTTCAATGCTCTCTTCCTCTTACGTATATTCTTACGTAGCTTACGTGGCATTTTAAGTGAAGTTAAAAAGCGGCTTTTTGACAGATGTTTATATGACACTTTTTGTTCAGCACAAAAAACTACTCGGTCAAAGTGTTGTCAGTTTTGTAAAATAACCGTCCTATCTCATTCTATAAGGGGGAAAGGCTTCTCAAAGTATACTTCCTTGGAACGCCTGTAACTTTTCCTGTAGCGACGATAGACCCTTACTTGTCCGGACAAAGTTATACTATTTTGAGTGCTCTACAAAAAAGTCAACGGCGACGACTCTCAAAACCGTTGTGTAAAAAGTTTTACCGTTGGACAAAAAAGTATGTATAGAAAACAAAAAACGTTTATAGTTCATTCAATATTTGAGATGGAACGGTTTGCCAACGGACTTTAAATAAAATAAAAAAATAGAAAGGGTTACCGTTGACAAAAACCGTTTTTATTCAATATTCATTTTCCACAAACTTCTGGTCAGTTCATTTTTCATAATGTACGCGTCTCGAACAGTGAAGCCCAATTCAATAGAATACTATCTCGAAAAACAAGAAGCTGACACTGCTATTCAGTCTTTAATACAGAACCAAGCTCAGGAGAACTCAAAAGACTCCCAATTCAAATCGACATCCAATTCGAAGCAATTAAAACTTGACTCGAATGTTTTAAAACCACAGCCCGCACGAACAAATACAGCTCTAAGAATAGACCAAAGAATACCGAACAAAGAGTTGAGGTCAAGATTGAAATTACAATCGGATGAGTATTTTTCCCTTAACAACCAGGGAAATACTCCATATAACCGTATCTACACAAATACCGTTAAAGAAACAATAATGGCATACACAAAACTCTGTCAATTGGTCCCCAACCAGGACCAATTGACGGACATTATATGTTCCTACCTTCCCATATTTGCTGAGTGTGTGGAAGGTAGGACATTGTTACAAGCTTGCTTACGTATGCCACCAAATCTCCGTCAACAATTTGCTCAAATTGTACATGAATTTAAAGCTTTTAACAACGGATACGATGAAGATGAAGTAGCAGATGAATTTGGGGAAGAAAAAACATTTTTCCCCTCATATAATACGCCTGCAACAGTATTTCCTACTAATGAATTTCACAACTATTGTGTCGTTCATTTAATTGTTGTGGATATGCCCACAGGTGAAGACATTCTCAGTGGTGACTTCATCGAAGTCTGTATCAATACAGAATTGGGAGAAGATGAGTTGCACAAATTCTCCAACGTCGAACATATATTCAAACCAGCACACCAACTCTTTATCGAAACTGAAATAACACTCACACAAAATATGTCCATCTCATTTAAATCCAAATCAGGACGTCCATACAGAATTTGGATGAACTACGTCCTCCTCCACTACGCCGACGATGACGAAGAAGAGGAAGAAGAGGAGGAGGAAGAAGAAGAGTCCTCCGAATTCACACCAGAAGACTAACAATTTTCCGAATAAAAACTTCATTTATACTAAACATCTTCAGGGCTAGAAGGGGCGCAGCCCCTGGAAGCCCCACTACCTTTTTTTTTTTTTTTTTTTTTTTTTACATTCGCTTGAACTATGTAATAACGACATATTCATTGATATAATTTTTCGAATTGTTAAAAAATTTTTCATTAATTTTATTACCATTGTATTATGCGCTTTATAATGCCTTACCATTTGAATTTTTTTTGTCATTTTTGAAATTTTGAAATGAATGATTCTTTTGCATCTCAGTTTACAGATGTTTTAGATGCAAACTTTGATGCAAGCATTCGTAACATATATATACAGTATGCTAAAATGGCCGACAATGACATTAATAAGGCAGATTTTTTGTCCAACGCATCTCCTAAACTGAAAGAGATAATTTCAGCATTAGAAAACTACAGAAATGAACTAAAGAGGAAGAAAAATGTACTAAAAGGCAAAAATGATCCAAATTTTGATGATGCATTTCTTCGAGAATTTCAAAAAACATCATTAAAGCTAAACATCCTTAACAAGGCAATATCTGAAGCCAAAACAGAAATTCATTCTTTACAATTAGAAAATCAAGAATTAGAACAGATGCTTGCTTTCCTTCAGGAATAGAAAACATTAGATCCTTGAAAATAATATACATTCTTTGATAAATTGTAATACTAATTCTTCGCATTTACATTTAAAGTCTATATTGTTTTAATTAAGTCTCAATTGAACATGTATGTTTTACACCTATACTATGCTATTGTGTTTAAATATAAAGATATTATTTTTTCTCATCATTACTTTACCAAATTTTATACCCAGATTTTCCTTACTTTTACCACCTCTCTAAAGTTGGGGACACCGCCTATCGTTGGGAGTAGCTATTAAATAGAACCACCAAGGGTATTTTTCGAACTGCCGGTGTAGTGGAAACATCCGACATAATGATTCATTATGCCAAGGTTTGATTCCTATTTAGCTAATTTTTTTCTTTTTTGGATCATGAATTTTTTTTGGGTCACTATAAGATTTGTTTCATGTTCTAAATCTGCTGCATATGTAATCTATTTTTATTTACCTATTTTTTAAAAATCTATTGGATTGCCAAATTTGAATATATTTAAAATCATAAAAATCCAAAAAAACTATAAATATATGTTTTATGCATAGTGCCGATACTCAAATATCAGATTACTTAGATCCATGAATAATATCCGATTTTTTTTTCTTAAAATTAAACTTCAAAACTTCTTGCAATCTTATTCTTCATCAATTGTAAATTTTTAAAACCATTTTTTAAAATAATTTTGCGTAAATTTTATTCTCATGTTGTTTTAATCGAAAATTGATACATTTTCAAAAAAAATAATATTGACTTATGAAATTCATTTTTAAGGTGAAATAGTATTGTTTTTATTAAAGTATATGAATAATATATAAAAAATTAATGAATAATATAAGCAGATTTTTAGTTTACAAAAAAATATGAGCAATGCAATTTCAAACTTTTGCTGGCAATTTCGATATTGCTCAAGTTTGTAGTATTTGTGATACCTATAACATCGGCTTAATCAAAATTCGATTTTTCTTATGAGTTATTGAGAAAATTTGATTGCAATGAGAAGGATTTCGACGTTTTTGATAAACTAAGAGCTGAGCTTTAGGGGTTCAGTTCATTTATGGCTGTAGTTTGATGCGTAGATCTCTTTTTTATTGTAAATTCTTTCAGCATGGAGATCGAGAATGAATCTTTTGAGAACTTTATGAGTTTTTACACCCGTAAAGAGGTCCTTCGAGGAAAGATAGTCCAGACTACATGAAGATGTGGGTTAACCAAAAAAATCCGATGGTTTCCCCATATTCATGTAGATCTTCGAAAAAATGAGCACCAAAAAAGCCAAAAAAATAGGCTTTTTATTGGATTTGTACACTAGATCAATAACCTATTTAGGATCTGACACTCTTTTTAGCCAGAGATATGAGGTCCTTTCTAGGAAAACGATCTATTCATCCATAAAAAAAATGAATTATCGTTTTCCCCAGAAATTACATGGGGAGTGGTAAAAGTAAGGAAAATCTGGGTATTTTGCAATAACATGTTTATGATATTAAATATAATCATTTTAAGTTATAAAATAACAATAGCACCACTTTCTCTTTGATTTGTTATCCGAACAAATCTTAGGAAATGGTTTGTCCTCATTTATCTCTAATTTTTAACCTTGTTTCCAATATTATAGATCCTAAGTGTAGTCGTGCTGCAATTTGAAAAAATAATTCAATTTTCATCTTAAATCAGATCAATATCAATACAATGAATGTTGTGTTCAATATCATATGACCGCAATCGATAAAATGACAAATAATCCGCTGGAATGTAATCAAAAGAAACAACACTCAGATATTCTAACTGAATGAGAGATATTTGGAACAGTGAATTTTTTATCGTGTAAAAAAACTATGAGATGGGTTCGCCGATAGGTCTTGTTTGGCCGCTCATAATTTTTCTGAAATGCTTCTTCGTGAAAAGCTTACTCCAAAGATTGAGCCACCAAAGAACTTAAAACCACCGTCAGAATGCGAAAATCTACCAATACATGATAAGAATTCATACGAAGACAAAAGATTAAAAATTCTTTTCATAATTTTCGGAGTTTTATTACTTGTTGTTGCATTCTTCATCCCATCAGACGAAGTTAACACTCCTCATACAGTTAAATATGGCGATTTTATCGAAGGAGAAAATTATTCAATTATTGAATCAATAAATGATATTCGATCAGATATTCCGACACTAAGAGTTCTTTACAGACACAATAACCGTGGATTTAATGGTCAACGCGAGTATGATTTGCATATTGATGTTTATCGCGATGGTAGCGATGAAAAAGCATTAAATGGATCATACTACAGCCTTGAAATCAAGCCAAAGACAGATTTTGAGATCTATGCAGACTCACATCCTGCTTATAAATCTCTCAAACTCAAAATTACAATTCCAAAGAGATATTTCGATACAACAGCATCCGCTACAATAACGGTTTGCATGGGTAACCACAAAACTGCTATTATCAACGTTTGCTACAGATATATCAATATTCTTTATATTGCTTTAATGATGATCTACATGGTTACGTATGTTGGCTTCCAATGCCCAGAGCACTATATTACCTTTGTTCTCATGTGCGCGGCCGTTTTCTATAATGGACCACTTTCAATTTACAAATTGTTCCGACCAAACAGGGTTTACATCATCGGAACTATGGTCCTTGACAATGCATTCGGTGGTGTACTACTCTTTTCCACACTCTCCATCTTCACACTCTCAAGGCCTTGGGCCCCAGAGTTATTAGAAGGAAATGTCGCCATTGCATGGATTTTCTTTGTCGTTACTACATTTTTCAAGGCATTACCAGGTATCTTGAAGCTCTTCGGCGAACTTTCCCTTTCAAATTCCGATGGAATTCCAACTTTACATATCGTTGGAACAATTTTAGGTGGAATTTTCGCTTTTTCACTCTTTGTTACACAGTATAAAGAGTACAGAGCTGTTCCTAACAACTTCAGATACAGGTTCTGGACATGCATTGAGTTTGCAGCTGGTTTCGCCGTTTTCTATACAGTTGTTGTCTTATTAGAACAATTACTTAGTCTGATTTCGGAAGGAAGCGCCGAATTCTTAAGGCTTGGCATGGTTACAGGTACCTCAATGATATATTGCTCGCTGTTTGTAAGCAGAAAGCTTGCACCATTTAATTTCTTCCATAATGAAGATGAAAAGTATAAATTAGAATAAAAATATAAAATATTTTGATATTATTTGCATCTAGAATTTAAAATACTCTTTAATGTGATAATTTAACATTAATTTTATTCGAAATTTATGAAATCTGTTGAATTTCTATAGAATCTTGCCTAAAATTTAACAAATGAATATACAAAGTTCTGAACTTTATGCAATACAAGATCAATGTATCATTTTTATCAAAGTTATTTTTCAATAAGTACAACCAAAAATGGTATAACATATACAATTGATAGCACAAACAGCTTTGCTATTGTTGGAATTGAAGGCCAAACACAATGCAATGCTATCGATCCTAATTCGTTTCAATCAACAGAATTAATTCTTGATTCAAATGTTAAAATTGGTGGCATCAACTATGAAGTTCTTGAAATAGCACCATATGCATTTTATCGTTATAATCACTTTGAAAAGATTGTTTTCCCTAATAATCTTGAGAAAATTGGAAACAATGCTTTTGACCGGGGCTTTCATATTATGGGCGAGTTATCATTAGTAGATTCGTTAAAATATCTAGGTGATTATTGCTTTGCTGAATCAAGAATAAAAGTTTTGAAAATAGGAAAAAATGTGGAGAAAATTGGACATTGTTTATGTGGTGCCGATACTGTTCTAGAAAAGATCATAGTAGACGAAAATAACCCTAATTTTGCGCATGATATGCTATACAATCTGTATTCTAAGAATTTTTCTATACTTTATCAAGTCAACGCTGTAATAGAGCACTACACAACACCACAAACCGTTAAACTTATAAAAACGCAGGCATTTGACAACATTCCCATAAAATCAATTACAATAACTCAAGATTGTCAATTTGAACGAGCTGTATTTCATGCAACACAAAAATTGCAAAATATTACATTTTATGGCAGTATAAAATGCGATGATCATATCTTTAGATTAGGTACTTCTCTCAAATTAATACATTACTATTCATATAAACCAGTTCTCACAAATCTTTTCCATGAAATGGAAACAGGTAGCATCGTTGTTTATTGCTGCAATAGATTTAACACAGATTTTTCAGGAATTTCACCTATTAAAGGTTTTGAATGTATTAGCACACCTATCAAATCGTGCGTGCTTAATTATTACTTCCGTTCTTATGAAATATTTATTTTTATCACAATTCTTTTATGAAAAATTGTATTTTATATTTTTCTAAGATTATCATATGTATGTAAACCATTTAATATTAAGTTTCTTATATCTAAGAGAATATACGCTGAAAGATTCATACAATTCATACAGTTTTCATTTGCAACACAATTTAATCTAAAATGATCATACTAAAAGTTAAATGTATAATAACACACATACCAATAGTTTCAATAATCAAAGGAATCTAAAATTATTGTTTCCAAAACAGCAATTTTAAGTGGATACGCACCATTGTATAAACAATGCATAATTTATAAATGCTTAACCGATATATACATTCTTTAATTTGTTATTCAATTGGAATTTGGAAAAAAAGCGTTATATAATTAGAAACTACAAACAAAAACGCGCATTTTTACAAACAAGATTTCAAAATAAAACTATAATTTGTCATTACGCTTGGACTTTTGATCTGATTCAATCCAAGAAAGAGAAAATAACGCAAATGGCAAGTTATTAGCAGAATCAGCTCCTAATTCATGGTCTTGATATAAAGAAGATACATATGGACTTGGCTTATTACTCATTCTATCGCTCTTCTTCGGGGGAGGTTGGAAGTATGTGATAGCATACAATATACCAACTAACAATCCAGCAAATGAGCTTAAATAGCATGCTTCAGGTAATGCAATGTGATAAAGACATAGCATTACTAAGGGATATAATTTTGTAGGTACATGGATGATTCCAAATACAGATTTATAGCGATGGTCAGTAATGTAAACATCAATTGCAGAAATTGCCATACTGAGACTAAATGTTCCAAAAATTGGATAATTAAATGTTTTGAATGAGTCAATTGATATAGTTAACAAGGCACCAACTGTGTAACAAGCTCCAATTAATATCGATAGAATGAATAAATGAATTACAAAGCCAAAATGTCCAACTTTATTTTCTAAATCATTACCAATGTGGAAGAAGATAGCAACACATATCAATAAATGAACAATACTTGTGTTGAAAAAGTGATAGGTTAACAATCTCCAAATTTGAAATTTCAAGATTTTGGAAGGAATCATTGCAAATTTCCACATAACAGGGACTGGAATATAAAATTCTTTAGCTAGAAAACATCCACATAGGATCAAGATTGAAATTGCATAAATAAATGGGAATCTGTGGAGTTTCATTGCAAAATTTGTCAATTTTTTTTGCGCTAATTTAAAAAGCCAATTTTATTGAAATATCTTAATCAATTTCTCATGGTAGAGAATATTGATGTTTTCTATTTCAAATCTTTTGAATTGTGTTTATGACACAATTGAATTAGAAAAAAATCTGATTAAATGTTCAATTAAGGAAAAATAGATGCTCAAAATAAAAATGTTTTCCAAATAAGAATGTAAACTATTGAAATTATTTTTATATAATAATATAAATATAATTTCAAAATATAACGATCTGGTATTTAGATTTGTTTAATATTATCAGAGTTTAGTAAAATGCATGTTTAAAATATAATATGCATGCCTTTAGCATTTAATTATCAAAATAAAATATATTTTAAGAAAAACGTAAAAACAACAGAAATTGTAATGTGCTTAGACATTGGAGGTCATGGTAAGAAAAGTTAAATGAGTGTATTGTAAAATAAATGATAAATTTTTGAAATTTTATACGGAGATATCAAACAATCAGGAAAATCATCTTAGGGCAACCGTGATGGATATACTGATGAAACTTTATGGAAATGAAAGATCTAGATGATCTTTAGAAATGGGGCCATTAGCATTAGAAAAATTGAGTAAATTTCAAAATCATATGAAATTTCAATATCAAATCAATTTTGTATATGAATGATATCAATCATATTGATAAATAAAAATGTGGCCGTTTAAATTTAGATAGTGCACGTTTAAAAAGTAAAATTCAGAGATAATTCAAATGATAAAGGATTATATAGACTATGTACAATGTAATAAAGCAAAATAATAATTTAATGCTTCTTAATTGAATAGGACATTGTGAAGTGTGCAAAAATTTGGGGAAAAACGGAGAATTTGTTTACTATTATATATTCGCTATGCATATCATTATTTGAATCCAAAACGATTATTTTGAATTGAAAATCAATTTGAGTGATTTCATGTATAATGAATGATTTCGACTATATTTAATATGACATAAGTATAAATTTCATCATATAAATCGAAATATCATATATTTATTAAATTTGGGGAAATATCTTATCAATTTTAAATCTTTATATTTCAATTAATGTGCTATTACTTAAATCTATATTGTCATTTTGGCTATCAACCAACACGCGTGGCTGAGTCATTACTTGTTAAAGCAATACTTTCGAAATGTTATAACATAAAATCTCATGAAAATCAAAACATAAGAAGAGAACACATTAATTTAAAAGATTAAAGTCCCAGACCTATGATCGTCGCACATTTTAAAATAATTATAAAATATAGTCGTGAATTATCAAATTTAATCTTGAAAATAGCTTATTGACTAGTAGGACATTTGTTACCTATTATCATTTTAGTTAATTAATCAAAATTTAGTATTTTCTTGTAAATTAAGTAATATCTCATATTAAATATAACATATTTAAAGACGTAATTCATATGGATGGATTACAAATGATTCGGATCGTAATGGAATATTTCGGAACGAAGATGTCTTTAGTATTTTACGAAATACTCTTGTAATCAGGAATACCGTAATGTAAGGAGTTCATAGGTAAATGAGGAACTAAATGTTTCTTTCTGTAATGTTTAGATATGAAATCTTCTCTGAGTCTATTGAAGAAATCTAACTACAACAAAAACGGTTCTGTTCGCAACCTCTGAATCATTTCTGAAAAGTCGCAGAATTTGCACTAGTTCTTTTGTGAATTGTAAAATCTAAGTGGGTCAGTGAAATGATCGAAAATGCATCATTATACTGGTCTATATAATCCAAAACTGTTATCCAAACAGTCCAAAGCTACCCTTTGAAAAAAGATTATATTGAGAAGTAAGAAAACGATGCTTTTTCAATTAAATTGACCTTGCATCGAGATTCTGAGGTATTGGAGTATCACCTTTTGCTGGGAGTTAAAGATTCCAAGAGAAAACGATTAATTAAATATTGAAGAATCGAGCAATAATGTTTTGTTTGATATCGAATTCACATCCATAGTTCCCAATTAAAAAGATTCATTATAATTTCATTAAAAGAGTTCGATCTGTGAGTATGGTTCAATAATCAAAACTGTCATATCACATTTGATTTCGCATAAATAACATAAAATACATTAACCTTGGAGAGAATCCTGAATAGAGAAATTGATTATGTTCGGAATTGTAAAATGAAACAAATCGACCATTCACAATAACCTCCGGTATCAATTCTGACATAGACAAACTGTGTTCCATTTATGAATAGATTATGAATTTATAAGAGAAGGGAGCATTTTACAGAATTAATAGAATTTTTTGTGATAGAAATCAACGAAACATTTAACATTCAATTTTTGTATCGGCTCATACAAAATTCTACTATCCACCCAGAAATACGAACCAAACATCAAGCTATATTAGTAGATCCATATTTTCAACTAATATTTTTCAAAATTATTTTTTAAAAATTCCTATTAATTAGGAGATTACATTGCATAACAAATCTAATGATCATTAAATTCATTCATTTCTCTGACTTTTTTTCCAAAAATATTTAAATGATAAAATATTGATGAACCACTTAAATACTATCTATTTAATTAAATGTTCTATTTTCAATTAAAAAGCCGTCGCCATCGTCTAAATTGAATAGGAACGATAAGTTCAAATTTCATAAAAGGATGCTTGCCTCAACTGGCATTAATTCCACAGCAAACATTCTCCGTAACATCACTGTTACAGTCAATGGTAAGCCATTAGAAGCAAAGAAGGGTGAAACAGTCCTCGAACTTTGCGACCGCAACAACATCAGAATCCCAAGACTTTGCTTCCATCCAAACCTTCCACCGAAGGCTTCCTGCCGTGTCTGCCTTGTCGAATGCGATGGCAAGTGGCTCTCCCCAGCTTGCGTTACAACAGTTTGGGATGGTCTCAAGATCGACACAAAGTCCAAGAACGTTCGCGACTCCGTTGAGAACAACCTCAAGGAACTCCTCGACTGCCACGATGAAACATGCTCAGCTTGCATTGCTAACCACAGATGCCAGTTCCGTGACATGAACGTCGCCTACTCCGTCAAGGCCGAGACAAAGGAGATCTGCTCCGAGGAAGGCATTGATGAATCCACAAACGCTATCCGCCTTGATACATCCAAGTGCGTCCTTTGTGGCCGTTGCATCCGTGCTTGCGAAGAAGTCGCCGGCACATCCGCCATCATCTTCGGCAACCGTGCCAAGAAGATGAGAATCCAGCCAACATTCGGTGTCACACTTCAGGAAACATCCTGCATCAAGTGCGGCCAATGCACACTTTACTGCCCAGTCGGTGCCATCACAGAGAAGTCCCAGGTTAAGGAGGCCCTCGACATCCTTGCTAACAAGGGTAAGAAGATCACAGTTGTCCAGGTTGCTCCAGCCGTTCGTGTTGCCCTCTCTGAAGCTTTCGGCTACAAGGAAGGTACAGTCACAACAGGCAAGATGGTCTCTGCTCTCAAGGCCCTCGGCTTCGACCTCGTTTACGATACAAACTACGGTGCAGATCTTACAATCTGTGAAGAAGCTGGTGAACTTGTCAACCGCCTTAGAGATCCAAACGCCAAGTTCCCAATGTTCACATCCTGCTGCCCTGCTTGGGTTAACTACGTCGAGCAGTCCGCTCCAGACTTCATTCCAAACCTTTCATCCTGCCGCTCACCACAAGGCATGCTTTCTGCTTTGATCAAGAACTACCTTCCAAAGCTTCTTGACGTCAAGCAGGAGGATGTCCTTAACTTCTCCATCATGCCATGCACAGCCAAGAAGGATGAAGTTGAGCGCCCAGAACTCCGCACAAAGTCTGGCCTCAAGGAAACAGACATGGTTCTCACAGTTAGAGAACTTGTCGAGATGATCAAGCTCTCCAACATCGACTTCAACAACCTTCCAGATACACAGTTCGATAACATCTTCGGCTTCGGCTCTGGTGCTGGCCAGATCTTCGCTGCCACAGGTGGTGTTATGGAAGCTGCCTCAAGAACAGCCTTCGAAGTCTACACAGGCAAGAAGCTCACAAACGTCAACATTTACCCAGTCAGAGGTATGGACGGACTCAGAATCGCTGAGCTCGACCTCGATGGTACAAAGCTCAAGGTCGCTGTCTGCCACGGCATTGCTAACACAGCTAAGCTCCTCGACAGACTCCGCGAGAAGGATCCAGAACTCATGGATATCAAGTTCATCGAAATCATGGCCTGCCCAGGTGGCTGCGTCTGCGGCGGTGGCACACCACAGCCAAAGAACAGAGTCTCTCTTGATAACAGACTTGCTGCTATCTACAACATCGATGCTAAGATGGAATGCAGAAAGTCTCACGAGAACCCACTCATCAAGGGAGTCTACAAGGAGTTCCTCGGCAAACCAAATTCACACCTCGCTCACGAACTTCTCCACACACACTTCAAGCACCATCCAAAGTGGTAAGTTTGTCAATTATAGAAAGAGAAGTTAAGGGAATTGTTATAAAAATACCTAAAGAGTTATTCACTTTTATTATATTGCTTAATTTCTCAATTTTTTTAGATATACAACGAGAAAATTTTCGAGGTCAAAAAGATCTATTGTTATCATTTCATGTCAATTGGTTTTACTCCAATAACACTTTTCCCATCGATCTTTAAAGTTCCCATCGGAATATAAACTACATAGAATGCGAAATGTCTCCTCCCTAACGATCCAATGTCGCTTAAATGACTCATAGACTGCGATATCAAGAGCGGTATTTCCATTATTATCTTTTTCATCGATATTCGTGCCATGTGAAACAAGAGTTTCAGCCATTTCTTTACCATCATTATGTGCTGCAGTATGAAGAGCGGTTTCTCCATTACTATTTTTTTCATTGATATTTATTCCATGTGAAATAAGAAATTCGGTTGTTTCCTAAATCATCAAACTTGCCTAATTTAATTCCATATTCTTTATAAAACAAGAAGTTTGAAGTAAGACGAACTTTTCTGACCTCTTTAACATGATAACCATCATAGATGAGTTTAGCAAGAGATAAATATGACTTTGTATAACGATTGTTATATGGGATTATGTTTAAAATGCCTTCAATAATCTTTTTTGGTGGATATTTCTTTGATTCAATCAATTCAGTTTTGATCATTTTGTAAATTTCTTTTAATTCTTCTTCTTTGTCCATTTAAAGCTGATACAACGCAATATATGAATCAATGTTGCATTTACAGATATCTAGCAATTCGCTGGATCTATTTGATTGAACGTAATGTTCAGACTTTAATAATTTTATAAATGGATATGTTTGCATTTTACCTTATAAGTATCTTTTAAATTCATTAGAAGAAACAAATAATATGATAAACATGTGGCAAACAATAATTTCAAAGATTCTGAAATAATTTATGAACTTTAATTAAGTTCATAGATATGAAATGACACGATAACAATAGAGATGTCGAAGCTATAGGATTTTCATCCAGATAATAATATTATTATTCAAGATTGTGAGAGGTAATTGTGATCGGGGCTAATGATCTGCCATTTGAGAAAAAGTATGAATACCATATATTATTAATAGAATTAAAGAAGAGAATAAAATTTATTATTCATATTTCTCAAATGCCAGTCGTTTTAGCATTTTAATATAGTTACCTATATGGACAAAGGAATAAATGGCGGAACCTCGCTTGTTTATTCTAAATATTATGTATTAATAAACGCACGATTATAGTTTCTTTTTGAATGAAATGTTAAATAAAGTTTTATGATCCATAGTGCGAAGATATAAACTTACCATGATTCTTTAGTCAATAAAATCAAATTTGATATATTTAATTTACCACACAACATTCGGATATAAAATAATGGCTTTTTATAAGAATATAGTAACTCAAAATTTGGTTAAATTATACTCACATGAACAATGCTAATTTATGAAGCTGTATAAAATTTTCAATTGGATCAAAATTAGACATTGTTCCTATATTTCTTCTATATCTATCGATGCTCGTGATGATAGTGTAAAAATGAGTTAACAATATATATATATTATAATAGACATTGACGCTTTAATCATTTAATTTTAGATATAAAGATAACAAAGAAAACATGAGATCCTCTACTAAATAAAAGAATGAGAGATAGTAATTTTGTTCGGCTAATGCTAATATTAAGAGAATTTTACTGCATTTTATTTTATTCAATGATAATTTAAATGTCACTTTTTTGATTGCTACATGGACCCATTTCTCCGTACACAGTGTTTAAATATATTTGAAGATGAGCTCAAAACGCCACTTGGATGTGCGGTTATTGAAAGTTTGAAATCGTACGGGGAAAATGTCTATATGGCCTTTCCAATCGAAAAATTGCGCCAAAATCTTGAAAAAAATGTTTATAACTCAGTTGATTCATTTGCATCTGATATAAAAAACTCAGTTAAAAACTCGACAAGGCTTTTTGGTGCAGAAACGGAAGAATCTCTTGGACTCCAAACAATCTGTCATAATATACTTCAAAATTTATCTCATCTATCTAACTCTGGTAGCGGAAGTATACTTGATTCACTCGAAAAAATATCATTAATTCTTGAAGGTGTCCTATCAGACATTTCAGACTCACATGAAGAGTTTATTAACAAAATACATACGAAAATGGCAAAGCCTACCATACGCCGTGATAATACAAATGTAGATATTTCAATTTTCGCTGAAAATGAAATAGATTTATCAGAATTACACGAAATACTCAAAAATCCACCCACTGATAAAGCAATTGTTGATATAGTTGATATATTAATGCACTATGAGCTTAATTATTCTTCGAAAGATGATGAATTAACGATAGATTTGAGTAATTGCGAGCCATACACCGTCGCCTTACTCAAAAAATACGTACAAGAAAATTCCCTTACACCAGATCCTACTGATGTTAAGAAAGAAAACAAGAGCTCTGAATAGAATAAAATGTTATGTTGTTTATAATTAATTTCCATTAATAATTGTTCTTACATTTCCTTTTTATCTACGAGAGTTAATTTTTGAAGGAATTATTTTCCTTATAAAATTATCAACTTTAAATACTTGATTTGGCAATGGAAAGCTAATATATACTTTCGGACAGATATAAAGCAATTCTATTTTCCATAAGTTAATTTTGATATTTTTATTTATTAATTTTAATGGAGTTTATTACTAAATTTATATCAAGTTAAAACAACATTAGCTAGATCTAATGATTTCACGCTTTAATATAATCAATAACAGTTCTCAAATTTTTAATTCTCTGATTTTAGCAATTTTTTCAATTGAATTCGGATATTTGATGGAATGATTGCCAAATTATTAAAGAAGTGAAATGCGATTAACGTACAAATATGCATGAAATACCTTCTTCTGACTCAGACTTTTTGAAACAACACCTAGATCTTTCTCATTCTATCAAAGAGAAAGGTTATGATCAAGATACTACACTCGAATGCCTCCAAAACAAAGTCAACGAACTTCTAAAATTTCAGGAACATGCTGTAGAGCTACAAGCGAAACTCAAAATTACAGAGGAAAGATTTAATCTGCAAGAAGCTGAGTTTTCTTTCCAAAAGAACGAAATGCAACAAGAAATCGAACATCTGAGAGAAAATGAAAGACAATTGCGTATTGCTTTAGCTAAAGCTCAATCAGAAAAGTCAAATGCTGTTAACTATGTTGATGTTGAAGCTAGAATTGATCAGGAATCTTCAGAAATTCGGAATTTATCAATCAAATTAAACAAATCTAAATCGAAAAAATCCCAACTGAAGCAAGAAAACCAATCTTTACGCGATAAAATATCATCTCTTTCAATGCAACTTGACGAATTACGTACAGCTAATAATTCATTGAAAAATGAAATCAGTCAGGTTTCAGAAAATCTAAATCAAGAACGTGAATCAAGCAAACTTTCAAGTGATGATCATAATAGAACACTTGAACGCTCAAGTCAACTTTCAGATCAAGTTTCTCAACTTCAAAGTAAGAATAATGAGCTTCAAACAAGAATATCGAAACTACAAGAGAGTCTACAGGCTCAACAAGATCAAAATAAATCATTAAAATCTACTCTCAGGCAAAAAGAATCAGAATCAAATTTGCAAACAGATGATTATAGGCGCCAGATTGCAGATTTGAAGCGCCAGAATGCAGATTTAGAAATGAGACTCAAACAACTCAATATCGACTATGAAAGGCAAAAGCAAAGAGCAAATGATTTATCACAAAATCAAGAAATTTCTGAAAAAAGTAAAGAAGACAATGCAATGCAAATTAGTACTCTTCAATTTGAAAACCAAGAACTCAAAGCTAAAGCTGACTTGCAGGAGAAACAGCTGAAGAACTTTGAGGAAGCTAAAAAGAATTTGAAAGAAAAAGAATTATTATTTGATCATATTGAGCTTGAAAGAAAGTCAATATCCAATGATTTGGGTGTTGAACCAGATCCTATTGAAGGACCTTGGACAAATATGCATGAAAGAATCTTATCTGCTATACAAACAGAAAATCTTGCCAAATCAATTCAAAGTCAGAACGAGAAACTCAAAGCAAGACTAAAAGCAGCATTAGATGTAACTAATAATGATAGTGCTGCTAAGCAACAGCAAAAAGAAGAAGAGGAAGATCAATATGTATCAGCATTAAAGTCTTCATTGGATGGAGCACAGAAGAGAATAAATGAACTAGATGAAAAGATAGCAAATCTAGAATTCCAAAGAAAATTCTCTTCATCAATCGAAATTACAAATTCAAAGTTGATGAAAGAGGTTGCAAAGATGCATTTAACACTTCATCCTGAACTAACAAATGTTCGAGCGTTAGTTTTATCAGTGATAATGGCAAAAAGGATCTCAAAAATGAAAGTTAATAATTCATATCGAGATGAAAAGGCTTTGAGTATATTCAAAGGCAGGCCAATATATTCACCAATAGGAATGATTGATGATGTCAGAAAATCTTTCCGTTTATTAACACAAGAATTAGTTGATTGTAAATCTGGGCTAGTTCAAGCCATTAAAGATAGAGAAAAGTATAGTACTGAAAACCAGACATTATCTGTACAATTAAATACACACAAAGATGAGAATAAAATCGAAAGAAAACGAACAAGATTCCTCAAAAAGAGAATAATCGAAATGCAACAAGAATTAGCTCTTCTTGTACCATCAGAAGAGTACCAAGAAGCTTGCAGAGCTGTTCAGACATTGCAAGAAAAACTAATTGCTGCAAAACAACAACATGCTGAACTAAACCAGAAAATCAATGATCTAAACAAACAAATCGAGGAAACAAAAAGTGACAAATCATTGGTCGAAACAAAATTATCGCAATACGTTGATATTTCTAATGATATGAAGCTGCAGTTGAAGCAGAGCTTGAAGGAGATTGAGACATTACATATTCTCCTTGAAGAAAAGAATAAAGAGATACTGGCCTTGGAAAGAGTTGTTTCGAGACAAAAATCTCTTGAAAAAACTGCTTCAGTTGCTTTTGCAAATTTAAAGCTTGGAGAAGAATCGGAAATACAGTTCGAACCTAAAATAGAAACTGCTACACTTTGTAACCAAGAACCAGCCTATTCATTAAACATCAATCCCGCATTCTTAGGATGAAATCATTTAAATTTAATTTTATTTGTTTTTTATAATAAAAATTCTTTATGTTCTTTTAGGAATTATAAGTATATTTCTAGATTGAAACTACATTAAACTTAATCATCTATGCTTGCCAATTAACAAATCAAAACATATCCACTCATACTTAACATATTATATTCATTAGATTTATCAAAAACTTATTATATTCATTAGAGTAAATATTAATACAAGCTTAGACTTTAATTCGAATTTCACAACTTAGGTATAACATTTTGGTATTAATATTTGTTTCTCATCCTTCAAAATTATACCCAAAAAAACATTGGATATAAGGAATAATTAGATTTGGAATGAGAGACAATTAAATGACTAAAAAGGTGCAATGTTTTCATTCTCATCTAAAAACTAGATCATGAATAAGTTTATACCAAAAAACATTATGATTTAATTTTTGCTAACGAATTGAACTTTCAAGAAGATATCTTAACAGGTTCAATGCAAATTGAGTTGCGATATGAGACGGGATATTAGAATCCATATGTTTTTGAATATCTAAATGCAAAGTCATTCAATAAGGTTCAGAAAAAAATTATTGTTAATTTTAAAAAAATGAAGAAAAAAAAATTTATTCACCAATTGTTCTTGAGTTTTCAACATCAGTGCAGAAATCTTTCCATCTTATTTCTTCAGTGATTCCAACTCTGTACTTTCTGAACAAAGCGTTGAGTTGTCCAGCGCGAAGAACAATTCCAACATCTTCCAATCTCTTCTGGAATTCATTTGATGTAATTGTTTCTGACTGAATTCCGACGAAAGCAACTCCAATTCTTCTTCTCTTGCAAGACAATCTGTCTCTTATCTGGAGACATGTTGCCATTGCATCTCTGTTTACTTCAGCACTGATTGGCTCTCCAGATATTCCAGCTTTAGCCCATTCAGAATCGATATCTTCTGCTTCAACAGCTCTTTCAAACAACTTGTAATTGAAGATCTCTTTCTTCCTTGAGTCTCTGAATGCAGAACACAAATCTTCCATCTCAGCCCTCATCGCTGTGAACTGGACATTGTTGAATGCTGCAGCGACTTTGAAGACTTGGATGAATCCTGTGTGCTGTGGATCGTATGGCTCGAAGATGTCTGAGACAGATAATCTCCTCATCCTTGAGAAACTCTTGAACCTGCGAAGGAAATTGTGAACTATCGGCGCGAAGTCTGGTAGCGGTTTTTCTTGTTGGTAAGATTTCTCTGGTTCTGGTTCAGGTTCTGGCTCTGCGTGGTTGAGAGCGGAAAGGAACTCTCTGTAGTTGACTTCCGGTGATCCTGTGACTCTGAAGAAAGAGATGAGGCCGCGGACATCAGACTGGTTCAAGTTCAACTGCATGTCGAGTAAAACGTCGAGGAAAACTTGGTTTGGAACGCATCCTCGCCTTCTTCTGTCGTTTTTCTCGAATTCGGATTGAAGGGAATATACATTGGCGCTCTTCTGGATGTTGAGGAGTAAAAGATTGATCGCTTTCGGAGGTTTGCCGGCCATGGTCGGATCTCTTGCTCTGACTTCGTCTTCTTCGACTGGTTTGCGGGCGGAAAGACGGAGCTCAGCATCTTCTGGATCAACAGCTGTGCAGAGATCGCGCCAGGAAACAGTGGCGAACCTTTTGCCTGGATATTGCTGGCAAATTAAGTTCAAATCTTCGCGGTTGGCATCGAAACCGATCATGCCAAGAGCAGATTGTAATTGTTCGACGGTCATTTCGCCAGTATTTGCACGATCAAAACGAGATGCGGATTGCATGAGAGTTGTTGGACTTGTAGCGAGGAATTGCTTGAGATTGCCGATGACATCTTTGATCGTTGTGGAAGAACGCATTGTTTGCTGTGGTGTTATGGCAGATGCGAACTTATGATAATCAATTTCGCCATTTTGGAGTCTGTAGTTTTCAGCGATGGCAAAGATTTCATCGTTGGAGAGTGAAAGTTGCATTGAAGCGACAATTTGTCCGAAAACGCGAATTGGGCATGAATCTGGGTTTCCATGCCTTGCGAGAGGGTCAAAGTAGTCACTAACGTGGATTCTACGGCTGACGATGATCTGGCGAATGTCGTTGAGTAAGTTGTCAACAGAAATCGAAGGTTTTGTCTCAGTTTTTTCTTGTTCTGGAGCATTTTCGGATACTCTTGGCTTGTAAGCTTCGACTGTTGCAATGAACTGCTTGTAGTTGCAATATCCCGTGTCTACTTGGTAGAATGGAAAAGCGATATCTCTTAATTCGACTGGAGTAAGGGAGGCTCCTGTAGATGAGATGGCAGCAATGAAAGCATCTAGGGAGAGCTTGCCGCTGTTCATTGAATCAGCGCGTTTGAAGAGACCGTACAAGTCTACAGAGCGAGATTTGATATATCTCCAAACTAAGACGAAGCAGTCTGGGAGTTCATCGATCGGAGCATCTGGGTTGACTTGCTTGACGGAAACAGTTTGGACGTCGTTTTGAAGTCTGAAATAATCGATTAAACCTGTAATTGTGTCGGCATAAACTTTAACAAGAAGCTTTGTAAGTGGAGAGCAGCCAAATGCTCTGTAGAAGTCATTGGCACTAACTTTGCCTTTGTTTGCTGGATCAAATTGCTTAAGGACTTCGCGGACGGATTGCCTACGAAGAGCAAGCTCAGATCCAAAGCGGCGCAATTCTTCTGTGCAATTTGGTGTCTTTGTTGACGCGCCTTGGTCATAACTCTTTGATAATTCAATAGTTTGCTGAAGAGCCTTCCAATCAACGCCTTCACCCTTCTTGAATGCTTCTGCAAGTGTCTGAACTTGTTGTGGTGTGAAATTCAAGCCAATGGAGGAAATCCATCTGTGGAGAGAAACTGGTGAAATAATACCGTTACGCTTGCGATCATACGATGTAAGCTCAAGCTCGACATCAACGGCATTTCTGTCGCAGGTTTGTCTAATACGTGCAATGAGTTGCTGAACAGCTTCCATTTACGTTTAGATTTTTTTCTTGATTTTTACACTCACTTCATTTTAATATGGAAATCACATCAACTATATACCCAAATCTTATATTTTATCTAATGGTCGAAAGGCACATAAAATTCAGATGAATCTAATTCTTGTTGAACATTTGAAAAGATACAAGATATCCAAATTATATTAACTAGTGATAGTTAGTATGAAACGACATCACATTGGGTTTATACTCATATTTTCAATCAATTTTACATTCTATGAGCATACCAGGCTTTCAAGCACCTTCAATTTGTCTATCTGACTGATAATTCAATATAATCAGCTGTTTTATTTTCACTTTGGATGAGGTTACTCATGGTCTAGATTTCTCGGAAATTAGATGAGTTGTGTTATTGAGTATCCCACAATTCACATATGCTTATATCAATAGAGCAGGTAGAACTGCCAGATTCCATAAGATTAATTAAAGCATCGGGTAGTTGACACCAAGCAAGAAGATGATAACAGAAAAGCTTGCAATTTTATGATTTGTAACGAGAGTTTTAGTAATTGAATTTATCTTGATTATGACAGTTTTCGCGTTTGAATCAAAAATAATCCTATTTTAGAAAATTATTTTTTTTATCATGGTTTTGTAGACTTTATTCAAACAATAATAACACAAATAAAAACATAAATGTTTTGATAATCCGGAAGTAACAAAAAGCTTACTCAAATATGTGATATCTTAATCTTTCCAATCTTTGCCGGTTTTCAAGCGCCTTGTTGTAGTAATCGCGTTGTTGTTGAACACTCTTCATCTTTGATTCATTAATAGTATCTGTTGCGAGTTGATCTTGTTCTTCACGTTTTTTGAGCCTATCCATATGAAATGTCTTTTCAGCAAGAACACTACTGACATGCATTGCACGAGTCTGCTTATCCATATCAGAAATTGGTGTTTTCAAGTAAGAAGTTTGATACATTTCTTCAGGATCTGGAAGCATTCCTGAATCTGGCTCTGGTTTGGAAATCCAGAATGTATTATATCCAACAGGTAAACTTCCGTGACGTGTTGCGAATTGCTGGGAAGTTGACATTGTAATTCCTGGTCCAAGCCTTGAACCGTTTTGATTAAAAGCATTCATTTTATTTCTATCAAGTTGTGAAAGTCTTGAATCTATTCTTTTTGCCTCGCTTTTGAAATTCATTTGCCTTAATAAACCAGATTGAGTTTGTCTTTGAGGGCCAACTTGCGGATTTGGATTTGTGCAATATCCAAGTCGCCTAAATGTTCCTTCGGGAGTTGGTTCTGGCATCTTTATTTCACGTGGCTCACGTTTGGCGAATGGTAGATCACTCATTTTTTTTCTCTAAAATAACGAATCTAAAAAGGTGTCAAATTATAGAATTTTAACGTTTTGTTTTTTATTCCTGAATATAGATAGAGATATTATAAAGGTGTCAAATTCGAAACCAAGATTTCCTAAATCCATATTTTTAATCAATTTCGATATTTTTCTGGATTATGATAGACTGTTTTCCTATCTGGCATCTCACAAATTGTTACATGTAAGATATTGCTTTTATCACCCAACATTTGATATGTTATAATTCAAGATTCTCAACTTGATTATCCAACAAACGTTCAAATTTAATAGGTTCTCATGAATTAAATAAGAAATTACCATATTGAACTGGTAACTAATAAGATTTCGAATTACAAAGGGTAGATAGGTGAAATTTTTACCATTATTTTTGGATTTTGAGAATGTGCAACCAAATCCAAATAAATGTGATCTATCCAATACATGAATTTTTTTCCCCGCAGATACTGCTGGATTTTTTTTTTTAATAAATGGTGTTGTTTCAACTCAACAATCAAATACTTCAGAGGATTAATACCTGTCGAACGTGCGACAAGATAACTGTGAAAATTAATAACGTCGAAATCATTCTTAATAAATACTTTGCCGTTGCAATTTCAAAATTGATCTATGCAAATTATCTGTTAGATAATAATATTGCCATTATTGACATTACCACAGAAATAGAAACACCAGATACATACAATATATTGAAAGATATCCTTCAATATAGGAAATCAGAAGTTGAATGCAATGAAACCGTGTTGAAAGATCTCTTTCATATCGGATTAAAATTAGATATTAATGAACTAATTGATTTGTATAAAAAGAGCATCAGAGATAATACAAAAATCGACAAAAATAATTGTATTGATTTACTTGAATTTTATTTCGATATATCTGCTGAAGACAATACATTTAAATGTGCAGATTTCATATCCTCTCATTTCTTTGAAATTGATGAAGATAAACTCAGATCAATTTCGAAAAAACTCGGACTTGACATTCTGCAAAGAATAATCATGAGTGATAAACTCAAAATCAAAGATGAAGATTCACTAGCAAAATTCGTCATTTCACTCACAAAAGAAAGTAAAATATTTTACCAATTGATTGAAAATATTCGATTAGAGTTTTGCAGCAAACAAATTATTGATGAAATTCGAAATTTAAGTAATGAAAGTAACTATAATATCATCATTAACTCTTTCCATGATTCTTTATTGAGAATAAGAACTACTAAATCTAATTATCCTCGTTACAATATTCAAGACGACTTTCTACAAAAGATTTCTGAACTAAAGAAATCAAATGATTTCTCAAATATTTATAAATTCTTAGATGAAATATCTGAAAAAGATAATAAAATTATGATGTCGATTGCATTAAATGGACTTGCAGGGACAGAAAAATCGCCCGAATATTATATTATCCATGAAGCAGCTCGAGCTGGAAATCTCAGACTTGTTAAATGCCTTGGGGAATATGGATTTGATATTGAAACAAAGGATAAAAGAAATGGAGATAATCCACTCATTATTGCATCATATACTGGTCATCTTGAAGTTGTTCAATATCTTATCTCAATTGGAGCTAATAAAGAAACAAAGAATAATGGTGGATGGACTCCACTCATTTGTGCATCAGATTATGGTTATCTTGAAGTTGTTAAATATCTTATCTCTGTTGGAGCTGATAAAGAAGCAAAGAATAATAAAGGAAAAGCATGTTACAATTATGGAAACCGTGATATAAGAAATTATCTATCTTCAATATGATTAATGATATCAAATACATTTTGAACATAAGCTACAATTTGCTTTAATGATAATTCTTGTTTTAGCTAAATTAGGTCAATAATAAAATTGATATGATAACTAAATTTATTCTGTTTATTCTGATATTATATTGTTAAAGAAATCATATGAAGCAGGTTCAAGTAATGCTGCTTTTGAGTCTGATGCAATATGTTTGATGGACATATTTGTGATTCTCTTTTATTTCATTGTAATTTCTTAGCGTTTTACAACTTGCAAGATCCCAACTATTTAAAATGAAAGCAAAGATGATTCTTTCACTATGAGAACTCAAATATTATCAAATTTGAGATAATTGTTGAAGTAAAGAGTTCTTGAAACAAAATATTAAATATACATAAATAGTACTATTTAAATCTAACTTAATTTCGATTTTTCGATTTTTGTTTTAGGGAAAAATTTTCTAAAAAGAAAAAAAATGTTGAATCTTGACCCAGGAAAAATCATTCCTTCACAAAAAAACATAGCTCAATCAGCGCCTACTATTTCTGCTCCCACTATTTCAGTCGAAAACATTCAGCCGCCAAAAGAAGACCCAAAACAACCAGTTAAATCTAATAGTACAGATCTTTTCGAGCGCGCTGAAGAAGCAGGTAAAGAAATTAAAACATTTGTTAGAACCAAACAAGAAATCGAAGCTACATTTGGTCTAACAGAAACATACGCTTATATTTATAACAAAACAAACAAAATTCTCAAAGTTACTGATCTAAATTCTCCAAGTACATTTCATGGTTTCCAAATTAAATCAAATTCAGATGAGTTTGTCATAATAAATAACTCAATTATTTTATTTTCTGCATCAGATGGCTTCAACCAATGCATAATTAGCGAAGGAAACTTTACGAAAATCCCTCATGAACTAAATAATGCAAAACAAATGAAAATAGACCCATTATTTAACGAGCGTTTCTTCTTTTTGAAACAAAACAAAGATCTTTACGTTGTTCAGCACACCGGTGAGTTAATATACGAAGAAAAGAAATACAAACAGAACGTTTCGTGGTTTGATCTAAGCAGAAAGTTTATTTTATTTTTAATCGACGGATATTACGAATTATGGCGTAGAAACGATACAGAAGAGACATACATCTGGAGAGAGAAGCAAACAGACGATAAAAAGTATTATGTTGATGATAATTTTCTCTTTGAATATACAAACAACACAGTTACAGCATTCAATGCAAACAATCCTTCGGAGCCTTCTATTGAACCAAGATTTAACGTTTGGCACTTTTGGAAAGGAAATTCTTCAGTTATTGAAACAAAAGACGGCATTGAACTGAATAATACTACTATTAAACTCGACTACAATATAATTGCAGCTGATGCAAACCAAAAATTCAACGTTGTTTTTGATGAACATTATAATCCAAACATTACTCAACGAAAATACAACGTTAATACAGATGATAATGTCTACGCTGATGAGGCATTCATATCTGCATCAAAGGATGTACATAAAGAGGCTTCTAAACACGTACAAACTGTAATCGAAGCAATTCACAACGGAGAACTCAAACTTATTGAGAATCTTAAAGAACAAAGTGTTCCCGTTCAGAAGCACATGGCAACTCTTGCAAAAAATGCTAAGAAAGTCTTAAAAGAAACAGAAATTTTGAAAGATTCCCTTATCCATTCGGGATCATCAGTCAAATCACTTGCAATGATGATGAAGGAAAGTGATAACCCAGATGAGATAGCAATTAAAGCTATTTCTTGCAATAATGAAGAATTTCACAATTTCGTCCTTGAAAACGAGTTCAAAGAGAATATTCCACGCTTCAAACAATCTACACTGATCGAATTGATACCAAAGATGGCATCAGTTCTCGAATCAGATCCTCAGGGAATTTCCGAAATTTTGATGTCAGTTTTGTTGCAAATTGACATTGACCAAAATGCAGGAAATGATAAATTAAAGGCAAATGCCGATGATTTGATGTCTACAATCATTTGCATGTACCAACAACTTCCTCCAAACGCTCCTTGCATGAGAACAATTAGAATGCTTTCTCATATCGCTGTTTCTCTTAAGAATATATAAAAATGGTTTATTGTTTTTATATCAAATTCAATTTTTTTTTTATTTCGTTAATTATCAACTATTATCATTGCCAATAGTGTTAAAAATTATTATTTTGTTAGAGATACTGATACTTTTTTTAAAATGTCTTGAAAAAAAGTAATATATTTCATGGAAATAAAGCTTGTCTTTTGGCCAGTCAATATTTGTCAATTACTTCATAAATATTTTATCAAAGTTGACTTAAGACTGATCTAAACCCTTGAATATTAGCAAAATATATCATTAAATTTATATGTGAGATGTTCCCGCCCTATGTATCATTCCTACAAACACATTCTACTAGATTACTGTAATCTGTAAAGTTCAGAGACAATTTTCTTGGGGAAATGATAGAGATTGAATTTTTTTTAAAAAAAGTGACAAATAATTTTGAAACTTTAAAAATGTACAATAACTATAATATTACTGACCAACAAACTATTAACATGTATAGCAAAATCATCGAAGATGTTACAGAATCTATGCGCGACTTATGGAGAAACAGTGGAAATGATCCAAGACTTTTAGACAAATTTAGAGATAATTGGGCTTATGAAACAATGAAATCAATCAACATTAACATGGCCAAGCCCGAAAGTTTTATTTCCACCAGCAATAATTCGGAAATTAAGACGTTAGACCAAATTTTGGTTGATTTTCAACTTCCTTTCCAAGCAGTACCACAGGCTCCACCACAAGAGAATAAAGAAGAAGAGGAAGAAAAAGCCGATGATGACGATGGATTTGAAGACGTAGATGATGGAGAAAATGCAGATGCTCAAAAGAAGAGCGCTTCTGAGTCAAGCTCTTCTGATTCAGACTCATCAACCGAATCAGATCACGAATTTGATGATGATCCAGAAATTAAGGAATTACTTACGCAAATTGAAACAGATTCTCAATTACTTTGCCATTACAGAAGTACTAAGGATAAAGGTAAAAAGCATATCCAAGAATTTGAGCTCTCACATATCCATTTAACTCATAATGGACAACCTTTATTCATTTCTCATGGTACAATGTCTTGCCCGAACAATAAGGCAAGGTTCTCATAAAACATTGAGTAAATGTAAGTATTATGAATTTCTTTAATTTTTTTTTACATTTGAAATCTAATCAAAAAAAAAATATTTTATATTGTTATTATTTTGCACCTGATCTAAGAAGAAGATTCATGATCTTCTTATAGTTTTCATTCTCGTTTTGTTTCTCTTTCGCATAATCAAGTGCAGTTTTTCCATCATTGTCTTTGTCATTCAGATTTACACGGATTGAAACTAAATATTCAACAACTTCAAAATGACCTTCCTTTGATGCCCAATGAAGTGAAGAACTATTATAATTTGTTTTAGCATTTTTATTGCATCCTATTTGAATCAAATATTTAACTACTTCAAGACGACCATTAGACGATGCAATAATTAATGGAGAGAATCCATCATTATCTTTCTCATCTGGATTTCCTCCAACTGAAACAAGATATTTAACTGTTTCAAGACGACCATTCCATGATGCAATGTAAATACAATTTGCATTATCTTTTTGTTTAGAGTTTGCATCACAACCAATACTTATCAAATATTTAACTGTTTCAAGATGACCGTATGATGATGCACAAAGAATTGCATTAAATCCATCTTTATTTCGCCAATTTTTATCAAAACCAACTCCAATTAAATATTTTACAATTTCAAAATGTACATTTGCAGATGCTTCAATTAAACAATTGTTTCCGAATTTACTAATTGCATTTCTATCACAACCTCCTTCAATAAGAGATTTTGTTAATTGAAGATCTCCATTAACACATGCCATAATAAGTGGAGTATTTTGATCAGAATCTCTCTTTTCACTTAATCCAACTGCACATGAAATAGACATCTTCAGTTTATCATCTTTATCTGAAAGTTCTTCAAGGAAATTGTAAACTGAATCAAAATCATTTGAATTCAACGGAATTTCACATATTTTTGCAAATTCATTGATAGATTGATTTAATTGACTGTTTTTGTTATTAAGATTATATATTTCGTCTTTGTATCTTGTATTTTCTGTTTGAATTTGATTAAATTTGTTATTAAGATTAGATATTTCGTCTTTGTATTGTTTTCCTTCGTTTTTGTATTGGTTGATTTCATTTTCCATCGTAGCGATCTTTGATTTGAGAGTTTGAATTTCGGATTTTAATTGTGTGACTTCTTCTGAATTTGAATTAATTTTTTTCGTTGTATTTCTTAAGGTAATCAATTAATGAACGACAAGATTTGAGTTTCAGGTTCTTTTTTTAGCAATTAAGAACGTTAATCGCGTCTTCGAATGAATCAATTAAAACATTGCATTTCCGAATAAAACAAAATAGTTTGGGAGTACTGTACTTTGATTTGCCTTGAGAAAGAAGAGTAGAGAAATCGTTAGATTTAAGATTGACTTTTTCTAATACTTTTGGAATGTCATCTTTATCTACAATATCATAGAAATTATCTTGTTCGATATATGTTTGAATGTTGTTAGCGATATAATCAAAATCAACAGTCAGACCTTGGCTCATCGAAAAAAATTTTGAAAGTCGTTTTCTAAAAATCCTATTAAATTCCAGTGAATAATCGCAGAAATCAAGATTTCTCAATAAATTTTAGAAGAACATTAAGGATGTCAATTCGGAAAATTGTTTTCGTTTTAGGAGAATATAATTTTCCTTTTGGAAAATTTAAAAAGTGAGACGCGCAGGATTCGAACTTTTTTAAAAGTTGATTTAAATATATTCTAGTGTGATTTCTAAGGATAATATCATATTTAAAATAAGAATATACTAGTTTGGGTGGTATAATTTTTTCGATAAATTTGAGAATATGTACGTTTAGGGCATCAAAAGTGTCAATTCGCTCAGCGAAAGCTGAGCTAGCTTCGTTCTCGAAAGAATAGGGAAGGAGTGAAAGAGAGTGATACAGATGTTGACACATTCATATCATTTCAACAAATTTTGATCAAATTGAAATTCAATGAAATTCAATTCACTTCATATCCTTCAGTCAGTACATTGACATCCTTCTACATCACAATGATAACTCGTACATCAATAGTTCTACAACTGACTCAGAAAAAACAAGATTTTTACTTCCAGCTTACAGCTTTTAAAAAGTTTCGATGATAAAAATCACTCTACTCTCGTTTATCGATATGTTGTGATAGTAGGTAAACGTATTCTTATCGATATTAATGAAAATATTTTTACGAAAATCTGAACCAATTACAGAGTTATTCATAAAGTTTATGATAACTGTAATTACTTCATCTTTGCTTTATATTTGAATAAACAATTTAATTTAATTTGCATAATTTTTTTTAGTTGAAAAACAGGAAACTTAGTTGAGTTTGTATTATTTTTATCGTTCAATTCATTGTATCAGTGAGTGATCCAGATATTTAAGATATTTTGAAAAAATTTATTAATTTGATTAACAAATTTTAATCAAAATAGCAAAAATCTATTTGATAGCTGTAAGCAAACATTAACTTTTATTTCAAGCAAAATCACTTATTTTCATCTAAACGTATAAAATTGTCAATTTTATGAGAATAAATTTAAAATCTCATGAAATATAAAGAAGAGTAATATTTTTCAATTTTCTTTTTTCTTTGTCTCAAATATTTTCTGTTGGGAATTTTCTTGTTATCAAAAAATAATTTTAATATTTGTTTATTTCATTACATACAATAAAATTTTAAAAACTCTATTTCTTCTCAAGAAAATTTTTTTCCTTCATATGAAGAAACATTTTGTTCTCCATTTGATGCTGAGTCTAAATCTCGATTTTTGAATTTTCTTCTTTCCAAATTTCTTTTTTCCAAATTAGAAGTTTAATTCAAATTTTCAATAGTTTATATAGTTTCTCAAACCGTCTTAGATTTTCTTACTTTTTGGGGATTTTCTCTCAAAATATACAAAAATAGTAATATCAATACATGTGTCTAATATACTTTAAAACCATCGTGATAAAATTCAAAAACGAAGAGTTCTTCTCTCCAAATTTTTTTCAAAATCAAAAAAATCGGATAAAAAAGTACGTTTGGAAAATTCATTTTTAGCATTTTAGGAATTTTCTCACTTTCCTTCCAAATTGACATCCTTAAGAACATCCATTATTCATTTGCACTTTTTAATCGAAAGAACACAGGAAAGTGATAATGAATAAAGATTGGATTTTAGTTAGGTTCATGCAACAAATACATGGATTGAATTAAAGAATCATACATAAAAATTTCCAAAAATCATTTTTTTATCTTCCGAATTTGCAACATTAGCCGAATGATATTCATATTGAAGATAAATTTTTTCTTATGTCATTGTTTCTATGATCGAAGCATGTTTTCCCATCTTTATCCTTTGATTCTTTATAAGCTACAACAGAGATATGATATTTAACAACTTCAAGAGACGTTTTTGTGATACACAAATTAGAGGAGTAAATTCAAATAAACTTCCTTTTCCATCTTTATTCTTAAAAAAATTTAAGATAACCATTTTGTGATGCTGCATTGAGAGGAGTAAGTCCTCAAAACAATCTGCTTCTTTATCAGCCATAACAGAGATAAGATATTGAACAATTTCATGAGGACCATTTACTGACGCACGAAAGAGTGGAGTCAATCCATGTTTATTCGTTTTTTCTCTATCAAAAAATAATCAACAATATCTTTAGTTAGTATGGTTAAGTTGGGTACGGCGGCACTGCGTTCCACCTTACCCAAGTTAACCTTAAATATTTCCGAAACCGTTAACGTAAATTTTACAACACAACCATAACACCAACTTAACCTTAAATATTTACAAAACCGTCTGACACATAAATGACTTCACTAACGAACTCACTAATGTAAAAAATAAACGTTCTCACTATCGTTCTCACTAACGACTTCACTAATGTTCTCATAAATTTTCCTCAATATCTTCATCATCAGTGTTAACCATATTGTAGTCATACTTGAAGCCATAAACTTTCTCTAACTTCTTAACGTACAATTTACATAACTTACCTTCGTCATCGTATGGTTTAATGATATAACTATTTCTATCTTTATACACAGTCAATGAAAAGTCAACTGGTCTCGGATGTATTTGAAAGAACATGTTATGCTCAGGAAGGAAGAATAAATGTTTAAATGTATGTTTGTTATATTTTTCGATTTGTATGAGTTGCTTTTGTTCTGTCATTTACATCCAAATAAAAATTTTCAGTAAAATAAAAAATAAACTTAAAAATTAATGATATCACCACCCTCACACGTATGAAAACATAGCACAAAAATAAATTTAGGTGAAGTGGTGAGATCTCACCTCTTTTTTCACCTGTTTTTTCACCCTGTTGAATTCATTGCTTTATAACTCTCTTCCTTGGTTTCTTTTTAGTTGCTTTCTTCACGTCTGTCTCCAACTTGACTGTCTTTCTTCTTCGTCCGTAATGATACCAGTTACTTCCACCAGTCAATGGGTCAAATGGTCTTTCGTAAGGGTTTCCATACATTCCATAGGGACCATACGGAAGAACTACTGGTGGAGAAGAAACATTTTCTTTAGTTCCATCGACTCTATTTAAATGCATTGTTTCACCTTTCATCTGGTCATTAAAGTCTTTTGCGTGTTTTGCAAACTCATCGTCCTTTCCTAAAGCATTTTCTGACTCAGTCGCAACCAAATTGGATGCTTTATTTATGAGCCCTATTTTATTTAATCTTAACTTCTTTGCAACCCAGCCTCCAATCTTCCCTTTATTTGCATCTAATGTCTTCGAAACCCTTCCTCCACTCATTTTATTTACTGCGTCATAAGCTCCAAGTGCTTTTGCTCCAAATGCTAATGCTTTTGTTCCCATTGCGCCTAAAGCTGCCCAAGCTACCATTTACACCATATTAAAATCATCTCTCTTCAATATTATCTCATAAAAGTTCTCGTTACTGGAGAAAGTCAATGAAACATAAGCGTTCTCACGGGCTTCGCCCTCACCGCTTTGCGGTCTATCTAACTTATTTCTTATATCATCTATACGCTTCAAAATGTCTGAACAATTGCTAACATCTTCTACAACAGTTATTTCATCATGAATGACCTTCAAAACAAGCTCATTTAATATGCTATTAAAATCATCTCAATAATGAGTCCATCCTTTCCATCTTTAGGTAGCACAACATCTTTCATTGAAGAAGGTTCGACAAGTCTTATGTTAAACTTACTGACAAAGTTTGTTATACTATAATGCTTCGGCGGCGAATACATATAGTTTGAAAGACATAATATAGATTCTTCAGCAAATTCACTTATACTGGATTTTATAACAATGTTCTCACGAGACCAAATACCACCAATTGACAATCTTGTAAGCAATCCTGCTGAACCTTCTACTGTAAACGTCGATGGTAACATTCCACGAAGGTCATCTATTGACATCGTTGAGTCACTGTATTTAAATATTTTCTTAAAGCAATCGTCATTATCTAACCATGCAATAGCTTTGAAGTTTTCATTCGAATATACATCTGCTTCATTAAATGTAAAACCTGACTTCTTTGCAGAGATGACTTTAAAATCTATTGAGTTTGTTTCAAAATTATATGCTATGGTAACTTCTGAAGGTAATGGATGTCCTTCCGCAGTCAGTTGTTCTCTCACTACCGTTTGAAGCTTTGTATTAAAAACTTTCATGTCATCTCCTGTATCTAAGTTCACATACACAGCAACAGGGAAACTATCTTGCTTCTTTGTTTCATCATTATATCTCAAAACATTAAAGTTCTTCAATAATATTGTTCTTCCTGCTGGAATACTTCGAACCTGTCTGATTTCAATAGCTTTCTCACCTCCTACATACTCTACCCAGTGTCTTGGATATTCATAAGTATACTGACTTTCTTGAATTTTGGTAGGTTTCATCATAACGTGTTCATAGTATATCTTTATACTCTTGTCAGTTAGACTCGGTGCTATGTTCTGAATATTTCTGACTTGCATTTTTAATGGAGATAAAATGAAGCATTTAATACATGACGTAGATGAAGACATGAATGAAACAGTGAAAACAACACTTCTCTCATTCTTCCTTTCAGTAAGGACTATGAGTTCTGTTCAAATGGTGTTTATTTCTATTGTGGAAAGATGGGTTCAGGAAAGACATTTAACCTCATTCGTCATATACTCATAACAGAACGTTTAGGAAACGACTCTTACTATGACCAAATCATTATATCAGCAACTTCAGACTCTATGGACTCAACAGCGAAAACATTTATGTCAAAAGTTCAAGCCTCTGTCGTTAAAGTTCCAGACAGTGAACTCATTGAATTTCTTCAACGTTACATTCGACGTAAGAGGAAATATTATGCCATCGTTGAATTTATACAGTCAGGAATGCAAAAGACTTCTGAGGAGATGGAAAGAATTATTGACAAACACCACTTACGTCAATACTCAGGAGTTTACGATATGAAACGACTTACAAACTACATTCTGTCAAAACTTTCAAAATACCCCTTCAAAAAGTATCCTTCAAACACTCTGCTCGTTTGTGACGACTTCGCCGGAAAAGGTTTAGTGTCAAAACCAGACTCACCATTAGCTAACATCATTACTAAAGTCAGACATTACCACTTAACTGTAGCAATACTTATGCAAACATGGAGGTTTTTAGCTTTAAACATAAAACGTCTCATAACTGACTTCGTTATCTTTCAAGGTTTCTCACGTTATGATATTGAACTCATTTGGAAACAGTCAGGTATAACATTACCTTTTGAAGAAATTTGGGAAGCATATAAGTCTCTCATCTCTCCTCGTTCATACCTTGAGATTCATATCATGACTAATACCATTAAAGTCAAAAATATTCCATGGGAACGACCAACATTGTTTTAAAGTTTAACCTTCAATTGACTGATGGTAAACAAATTCCATGCATCTCTGTCGCCATTTCTGTTAATATTTTTGCTGTCATTCATATCATCCACTTCCCCATCCGTTAGCTTTTGAGGATATGCGTTAGAATAGCTGTTCTTAAATGAAGGCTTTTCACCTTTGAGAGCATAAACTCTATAACTTTCTGCATACTTTATGTTTGAACCTCCTGAGCCATCATTGACATAAATTTTTATAGGCTTCCACCCTTTGTTCATGTTCCTGCTTCTTCCCTTAGCTCTTTTGTTCAGTAGTTCTACATCTTTATACACAGCTCCTGTCTCAGTGAATTCAACAATATTTTCATTCGTTAGCTTTACATTCAAACCCTTGTCGAGTATATTGTTCATTTCATACATATAAAAGGTTTTTATTCTATATGAAATGAGAAGCAAATCCATCTTAGCTGGTGCCGTTAATGTTCCAATTGAACCAACATCAAATGTTGACTCACGAACGACAAACAATATTGTCATAAAGAACTATAGTTCAGAGTGTTTGAAAGAAAAAGAACCAGACTTAAGTCGGTGAATTTAAACACAGCTTCAAACGCTAACGCTACATCAGATGTTAAGTTAGAGTATCCACCACTGGACCAAATTCTTTCAAGAGAAGCCAACGACAACCCTTACACAAATGTTCAAACAAATCCTTCAGATAACGTAGACCATTACCTTCTTCAGTTATACCAAACAATTTTACTCAAAGACGATAAGAAGCTTTTGGTAAATCTTATAAGCAAGAACCAAATAATTCTAACAAAGGAGGACCTTGAAAATGTTATATCACGAATAACAGGGAAACAATGTGTCATTGACTATCTCGACCCTGAAATCGAATGCTGTGGTCAAACGCCACCATTCATGAAAATAGGTAACATCCGCATCATTGAAACACCAGGAACTACAGGAGTTGAGTTTAAGTATAAATATTCGAACGAGTATACAAAACTTTCAACAGAATATAAACTTTGCTTGAAATATGTTTTAGTAAATTAAAGCAATTTGTAATATCTATCCAAAACTTCTTCAACAGTATCGAACTCATCTTCATAATGCAAACCTAATCTTATTGACTTGGTGCAGTTTTCACTAACACAATATTTTTCTGTTCTCTTGACTGACATAACTAATTCATTTGTTTCATCAAACAGCAACAACCAAAGTTCATGACCTAATACATAACATTCATACTTTATATTTTTAGCTCTGAGTTCTCTTGTAAGCTGTTGCATTTAATATTTTCTAAAAAGTCAACTTCAACAGTCATTCGCACTGGTGCCTTCAGTTCTACAGGCTCTCCTTGAAAGTCAACAAGTCTGAATTGCATGTCTTTCAAATTATGAGGACTAATGCGAACCCATTTACCTAAATGAGTTGCTATGACAGGAACGTTTGGAATGAACATTGAATTGACTGCATAACAGAAGGATTTATATTCTACTGAACCTTTACTATTAACTCCTGAAATGCCTGTGACATTAGCTATTTTAGACTCAATGTATAAACAATTACCATAACATACGTATGGAACAGATTTCATCTCAATCGTTTTGTCAACACTTTTCAAAGGAAATGTCATATGGTATGCACCCAAAAGAAGTTGTACTCTATGACTCATTCTTGGTATCTTAAACTCCTTCGCATAACTGAACTTCAAAACTCCTGCAATAAGTTTAACATTCATTAAGTTTTCTTCGTTATCCTTGTTTATTGTAGTATTTATGAGAGCATTTAACACTCCAGCTAATGTTTCCATCTTATATTCTACATTATTGTGAAATCTTATTTCGTGCTTCTTTCCATCTATTTCAATCTCCATGAAATCTGTTTCATCTGTTATAACGAATGAAGCGATAGTATTGAAGTCAACCATTCTGAATGCAAGCGCCTCATTCTGTAGACCTAAGTTTGTTTGTAGCTTTACTGTCCCGTATTCGTTTGGGTCTGTACTTTGCAAATAGAACAACATTTTATTCTCATTAAAATATGAGTATAGCTGCATATGCGTATGAAGCTGACAGAGCTAAACGTTTATATTTTGGTCAATACTCTCTCACACTTACTGACAAATATATTGTTATCACTGATGGAAATACTGAGAAATACATAACATGGAAGGACTATGAAAAGTTTGACCCTATTTTAACTCCATGTACTATGCCGTTTATAAAGGACGGTGAAATTATTGAAAAAGATAATACAACCGTATATAGGTCTGTTTATGAAGCATTAGAATATATGTTGAATCATAACCCAAAAAGATTTGACCCAAGCACTACACCATGTGCAATGCCTTTTATTAAGGACGGTGAAATCGTAAGAGTTCCGGATTCAACGGTTTACACAGCTGTTCAAAACAGTTTACAAAACATTTTAGCGAATATCTTTAATTCAGAAACTACAGAAATAAAATTACCATATATAACAGATGCTAAAGAAATTAAATCAAAAACGACAACATTATTTACGTCACTTAATGATTTAATGACTTATATCATTAATATTCTGCCCAACCACTACAGCATTTGATCCAAACTCGACGGTTTGCAGTGTACCTTTCATAAATGACAGTTCATTAATTACTTTAAGGGATTCAACAGTAAATGAATCATTAAAGGCGTCATTAATGAAAATCATTGATTTTAATTCATTCACGAATACATATAATTCATTCATTAATGTTTCATATGCTTCTAAAGAAGGTGAGCCAAAAACTATCGATAAAGCGGTGTATGAAATAAAAGCATCAACGACGAAATTGAATTCGTTAACTTTTGACGGTGATAGTTTCGTTAATGACATAACATCGGGGAAAACAATTTTAACGAAAGAATACTTAAAATCTCATGTTAGTGAGTTCGTTGAAATTGAAAAAGAAGGTGGAATTAAGTTCGATCCACTGAATTTCATTTTCAGCTTAGCGAATGCGGGTGTTAGTTTCGCTGAATGGACAACTATACAGAGTGAAATAAATGCAATATGGACGTTTTTGGGGTCAAAAGCGGGAATGGGTGAGCTTGTAAATGCTGCAAGAACATTAGGTGAAACAGGAAATTTTGTAGATGGTTTTAAAAGACTTGTTTCAAATGTTTTAACAAACACAAAGAAATTATTTAGATATACCGTACATAACGGACGGATTTTCGAACAGATAGCAACAAACCCTCCGGTTATGGCTGCGTTGATGATGGTTAGAGATATAAAACCACGTAACGACGGGAACGAAGAACATGAACAACAGGATACTGGTCGGGTTATTCGAGACATTAAAAACGTGTATCCTGAAGTTATTGATTTATTTAGAGGAGTTAATGATTCAATTTCAAAACATTCTATAACCCTCGATGAAGAGAATAAATTAACAGATTATATATTCGTCATTATTGCAGAATTAATGAAGAGAATAAATGAAAAAGGAATTGGTGATATCATTAATGTCAGCGATGTAATGATGAAAAGAAATTTTGACTCATTATTTACAAAACCGAAAACAGAATATAGTCTTTATGACGTAATTACCGAATTAATGAAAAAGATTAATGATAATAAGAGTTCTGGCGGAAGAGTTGAATTAGAAGTGAATGATGTTAATGAGAAATTAGCCGAAAAAGCAGACAAAAATGAGCTTTTAGCTCTGAGTGATAAAGTCAAGAACCACGTTCATTATATAACTTCAGACGAACAGATTATAACGGACTACCATGGATATTTAACACGAAGTGATGAAGCGAAGACAAAAAATGTTAATGAAAGAAGATATAAATACATTCGTGCTAAAGGTTATGACATAAGTTGTACTGTACAGTATGATGTAGCTAAAGCACCAGAAGCATTTGGTTATACCGGTGAAATTTATGCCTCTACTTTCAATGTTAACGGTGTATTAGTTGAACCAAGATTTACATTGAGAGTTAAGGCAAAAATAACTTTTGAAGATGCTATTAAAAGTAAAGCTGACAAAGATGAACTTGACGCAATGAACAAAGTTTTGAAATCTCATAAACACAACATCTCCGATATAAATGAACTTCAAGCTACATTAGACAGTAAAGCCGACAAGAACCATACAAACGAATCCTTCACTACTGTTAGAGCAGACGATGTAATATTGAACTATACTCTCGGTTCAAGCGCACCTACAGAGAATCCGAGTACAAGCGTAAAAGATACACTAAACTCCTTAAATAGTAAATGTATGAATATCGAAGGTCATGTCAGAAACTTTGAAACACATGAACTACCAGCAATGTTAGATAAGAAAGCTGACAAAGAACATACACATAACTCCTTCTCAACTGTTGCTATAGAAAGTATTGAAGGAACGGTTGACGGAACTGATGGGGATGCATTATATTATAACCCTCCTAACTTTCCACAAGGTTTAACATCGAATGAAAACATAACAACGAAGAAAAAAATTAGCTGTAAAAATGTTTATGTCATGGGTGATGAAAATAATGTTAAATTCACTGCTCAAGATTTATATGATAAGAAAGCAGACAAAACAGAGCTTCAAACATTAAAGACTGAAATACTTCAAACATTATATCCTATAGGCTCTATTTATACGTCAATGAACTCAACAAATCCAGCAACAGTTCTGGGTTTTGGTACGTGGCAGCAGATTGTAGACAAATTCTTATACTGTGCTAACTCTTCAAAGCAAACAGGAGGCTCAAAGAAAATTAAAGAAGCAAACTTACCTGCGCACACTCATACAGGAACTACAAACACAACAGGTAATCATTCACATTCAATAACAAAAAGAGGTTATAAAATCTTGCAGCAGGTTCGGATAGACAGGGAATGCATAGATATGATATTTCAAGTGACCCAGTAGATTCAAGCGCAGGTATTTTCTGTGGAACCACAGGAAATCATTCACACACTTTCACAACAAATCCAACAGGCTCGGGTGAAGATTATATGCCACCATTTATGACTATATTCGCATGGTATAGAGTTCAATGAACGCGCTTGAGCCTAGAATAAAATCTTTAACTTTACATAAATGAGCTTGAAAGAAGTATTCGAACAACATCCATGGAGGTCATTTAAGAAGTTCAATGAAGCTGCAAAGAGTTGGGGATTTACTAACAGAGCTGAAGTGAAAAGGTTCTTTGACAAAAATGTTGTACATCAAACAAAAATAAACCCTTACGACTACTTTTTACCAATTTACTCCAACGCTCCTGACGCATACCAATTTGACACTCTCATTCAAAGCAGAAAAGGAGGACATAAACCATTCCTCATCTTCATTAATGTTAACACTCGTAAAGCATATGCATATAATGAAAAATAAAGGAACTCATGAAGTTTAAGAGTTTCTTTTGTAAAGGCATCTGAACTTCTTGTAAAGCGTTTAAAGACTCTTTGAAAGCACATCTTTTTCAAGACGTCTTTTGTAAAGCAGACTTTTGTAAAGCAAATCTTTGTCAAGACGGTCCTTTTGTAAGCAAAGTATTCTATTTTTGGTGAGGAAAAGTGCTTTGTTATAAGCCAGTCTTTGTAAAAGTGTCTTTTGTCAAGACGTCTTTGTAAAGCTGTCTTT